CCCAGGGGTGCCACCTACGTGAAGCCGGGGCCGTAGGGGTGTGTTGCCTCCGCCGGGCGGGGGGGGGGGGGGGGGGGGGCCTTCAAGCTTAAATCACCTGGTGTGGGCTCAACCCCCCCCCCCCCCCAGCATCCCCTTTTCCCAGGACACGGCTCAGCCATGCACGTGTCTAGGCGTGGGGGGAGAGGTCAGAACCCCCGTTAGCTCAGGTCCGTGCAACTTCAGTACAAAACGCACTGAAGTTGCAGAGGTCTGAGGACTGCTTAACAGTGGGTAGTGTATATAAATGGCTTGCCGTTTTTCTCCGCAAACTAGTGGTTAGCGCAATGCTCTGGATATGATGAGGTCACTGGTTTGACGCCTCGCGACAGAACATTTCTTCTTCGTTCTTTTTTTTTACTTTTCCAGACTGTTAGTAATATCCGTGATGGTGGACAGCGGCATGGTGCCATGGTGAATTGCGACATAAAACACTTTTGAGATAAAAAAACAACTGCAAAGCTCAATAATAAAAGTGCCTTGAGATTTAGACGACTGTCACACGGTAACTGGGAATTCCATGAACAGATAGTGATTATGCAATTGAATTGTTTGAACAAGAAAGGTCAAGGGTTGTGTTTCACATACGAAATACGGCCTGATTATGTCTCGCAACACACTCTCTGCATCAAATAAAACCTGAACTAAAGCAAGCGTTCGTGATGGCATAGTGTGTGCCATCCACGCACCTTGGGCAAAATCAGCCATTCAACCGCCTCAGACCTGGCGTGGTTGAAACGAGGCTCCCGCCAGGTGCATCCAATGTCTATTGCAGTGAGCCTCAGCCAGCGTTCGTGATCAGCGTGGCAGGAGCCATGCATGTTCAAGGTCAAGGACCTCGACAGTGAGCCGCGTTACTGACCGCGGCTGGAAGTGCAACAACTGCATTACCCAAGCATCGCGAGTGTTCTCCCACTGTTGAGCTATTCAGTCTTTACCAGGACTTGACCGCTGCTCCGTTCTCCAGTGAACTCCCTGTTTTGTTCGGCTCTTTTAGACTTTATCTAGTCTTCCAAGCACTTGTTATATTTTTCTAGATACTATTAGATTTTTTTAGCACCTTTTGTAAATACATTTTTTTTATTCATGCATAAATGTCCTCGTTAGTGTCACAACAATGTCATTGCGATTCTTTACCCACAAATACAAGCGTTTCGTTTAAAGCTGTCTCGCCACATGGCTCATGCCAACATCATTACATGCAGTAATCATCAACCAACTGCATGTACAGTTATTTGCTGACCTGCAGAAATGAAATCACCAAGCCTATCCAGTAGCGTAGCCAGGGAGCGGCACATTCCACCTATGGCACCCCCCCCCTCCCTAATTTTTAGGGGCGAAGCTCCTGACGCTGTGGCTCAGACCCTCCTCCGTTGTTCGTCGTAGCCACCCCCAGCTGCTTCTATCAATGTTCACTAGATGGTGCTGCGCACTGTGTGTGACAGTAGCGAACTCGAAAACTGTGAAGCAAGTATTTAAACAGCAGAATACCAATCCATATGCAAACATTGGTTCAGAAGAAGGTGAAGGGAAGAGAGAGGGACATGCGGAAGATTGGGATGCTTACAAAATTATCAATGGAGACCTACTGAGCTTTCAAGCAGAAAATTGCAAAAGGAAAGAAAAGAACTACAATATTTCTCGGGGTAGTTATCAGCTGTTCGAGGCCAGAACAGGAGTATTGCGGACCAAAACGTGCTGAGCTAAATATGAAGGCACAGACACGTTATGTAGTGCATATGGAGAGGAGGAGGAAATGGGAAACATTTGATAATGTTCTGTAAAGGGCTCCCCCCTATAGCCCAAGATAATGACGTGGAAGTTTTCAAAGCATTGGGGTTTGGGAGCAGTGAAGAAAAAATAGACCTTAAATGGGTAGAAATAACCAGGCGGAGGCTAACTGATTGGTGGCTACAATCGAGGCGCGAGTGAAATTCAACCTTAAACACATACTGACAGTACTTAACTTTATGGCTAGGTGGTGTGAGCCACCGCCCGATCTAAGGGCACAGCCGGATCCATCTATCCAATCATAAGGGGCTGGCATGAGCGCAAGATAGCGCTCGGACAGACGGACCGAACAACCAACCAACTAGATAGATAGATAACTGCATGACAGACAGACAGACAGGTGGAGGCTCATAGTGCCTGCAGTACGCAAAGAAATGCTTTGCATTAGAAAACTGGTCTGAACCAAACTGGCTACCAAGGAGCTAGCAATTAAGAATCTATTACACTGGACGGAAAATAGACAATTGTTCTGTATAGCATCCTTTAAAAGGGCACAAAAGGCAAATATTAAGTCATTGTTGATGGCTGAAAGAGCCATCCAGAAACATGGTAGTGCTAATTTTGTGTCCAATAAATGCTTATTTTGAATATAAAATCCCATTTCAACGGTTCACACGACATTAGCGCATGTCAAGTCACTTGTTTAAAAAAAATATCCCTGATGTAGCAGTTGCATTGGCCACCGTTTCCCACATTTACTGCTTGGTCGCCGACATATGCAAAGGGTTGTAGGAATGCAGGGTTACTAGACGAGGTGACAGCATCTTGTGATGATTTGTGCAATCACAGTCATAGGTACGTTAGTACTTGCATAACGTTTTTGAGGAAAACAGATTAAAAAGGCCACTCATTCACAACTACGTCACTGCAACACATTCACACCAGAAGTATAATGCATGATGTTTCTGCAATAAATTTGGCGCTTGCCTATATCAGGTGAACCCTGGTATATGGCACCACCTAATTAGCCCAACCAGACGGGAATGTAACTATTTGAACCAATCGCGCCATTCCCCATGGTAACGACAAGGGGTTCTCTTTTTTTTATGAGTCAAATATAAACAGAGAAGCAACATTTTATTACATGTTGTTTCCATGAAAGGTTTTTTTTTTTTATTGCTAGTGGTTCAATTTTATTGCTAGTGGTTAACTTTGTTGGACTTTTGGACGTCATTGATATCATTGCAAAATGTCACACTCGTGGTACGTAGGGTGTCATGCATTTACCTCAATCTCTCTATAAAAAGAGCAGTACTGTTAATAATATTGGCACTTTAGATGTTGTCAAACATGGATATTTCACTCTGACATCAATTATTTGCCTTTAGTGTCCCTTTAATATTTCTTATGGTCATGAAACTTCCGCCTCAGTTTTACATGGAGCTAGCAGCCGTCGCCAGAGGGGCAGCTGTTTATGAGATGGCATGTGAACGCTTAGACTCAATGTTCTAGCTTTCTAAACTTCTGTGGTCATCTAACAACCCACACCATGCATAAATGCGTGCCTCAGAGTACGTAATTCTTAAAATGAACACCTCGGCGAAAAAAGTAGCCGCTCATAATGTGCAGCTCATAGTGGTTTCAGCATTTATTAAAAGGCCCAATTCTGGATTAAGATTTCGAGTGCCCTAATCATCATAAGATTATGCGGCACAGCAAACTCCACATTTATTCTTGATCATATCCCATATAGCATCACAATGTGTGGGTGTACATCCACTCTTTTAAACACCGTTGTACTGTTCAAGCACCAATTCACTTGTGAATTATCACAAGTCTTTCATATTAATGAGTCACTTGACTCGTGGTACTGCTGCAGAAAAAGGTTTTTCCTATTGACAAGCATATTACTTAACTACTTTGTTGCTCAAGCGATGCAGGGTTTCTCACTTATACAAGTTTATGTTTCCTTCAAATTAACTTTCAGTTTCAAGTGCCGTGCTTTGTTGGTTCCCTCCCTTCTTTGTCTTAGTTTCTTCCGCGCACTGTTTTCTTCAAATATGGCCAGCTGACATCCTTAATGAATGCCAATGCTAGTGAAGACTCAATATTTTTCACATCTTCCCCCTTGTTTAAAACTACTGCCTGCCAGCTTAGAGTTTCCTGCAATATTTACTAATAAAAACTCTAGTGCTGCAATCGTTCAGCCACCATGGAAATAATGCATAGTACACAGACTTGCCTACTCTTCATGCTGACACTAAAGTGAAACAATGACGTAGTTTGGATTGGCAAACTACAATCTGAGAACCCTAATGCCATATCATGAGCTCAATATTAGTGAAAAAAAAAAATAAGGCTGGAGCTTCTTTTTAAAATTTCCTGCCAAAATCTCCGCGTGTGATGTCAGAAACTTCAAAATGTATTTTTTTTGGTATTTTTGTGACATTGGCTCAATGAAATTTTCTCACCCACAGATTATTCATATTTATCGATTGTATGCTACCCAGTAGGTGCCTTCAAGATCTATGACATCCCGGTGTTTGGTGTGGGAATCTCAAGGTGGCGTCTCCACCCACATTTTATTTTCGCGTTTTCTCTCACCAAGCATTGTGTCACAGTAAAAGTGACGTTTTCGAGATTGTGAAATTGTACTTTATTAATACGCAAAAAGCCGTCTTGCTCTTTCGTGTTCCCTTAAGACTTTGAAAGCACTTGTAGCTTTGTTTATTGTTGAGTTCTGACAATCATTTTGGATAAAAGAAAGGAGCATTGGGAAGTTTGTCATCAAGTTTGAATTGATGAACGACAAACAGCCAAGTGCGTGAAGTGGAACTGCTGCACATTTGCTCCACTTTGTTTTGCGACACAGAGATATTGGGCCACACCTAGCCAAATAGAGTTGAAGGAACAAAGGCTTGAGAAATCCAAGTACTACCCAGCATTCCCATGCTGGACTGAGTGCCAGTGTGATGCAGCTCCCATAGACACTGGCTGCAAGATTTCTTTACTTTCACGGTCACACTCCGTAAGACCTTTGGAGCTCTATAAAATATTTGTGAAAGCATGTCACACACAACAGTACACGTAGCATCAAACGGCCTCTTCTCCCACAGAAAAGTGGAGCACTTTTCCCGATGGAGTTGTACGAGAAGTGCCGCGATTTCGCACTGATGCCCTCAAGTTAATTTAATGCCTGCAGACATGGACACTCCCAGTCAATCGCATACCTGAATCTCGAATTGCGACGAGGAGTCGTTGGCCAACTCGACAGTCGTGTGGCTGTACGGCAGCGGCGCCCCGAAGCACGTGGCGTTGATGAGCGGCTCGCATTTGGCCGGCCTGGCGCACTTCTCGGCGTCCAGAGGCGTCGCATGGTGCCTGCTCGCGCCCTTGGAAGAGCGACCCTTGTCGCTCACCAGCTGTCGGAATTCGTCGCTGGCGTTGGTCGCCGGAGCGGAATCTGCGTGCCGTTTGGAGCGAGCATCGCTCCATCGAAGCTCGGCGCCGACGGTGTGCGCGGCAACGAGCACCCACAGCACCGAGGAGAGAGACCCGCTGAGCCGCATTGTCGAGCGAGCGACAGACCGAAGACGGCGGGTCGAGGAAGTGACCACGCGTCCGCTGTCATTGAGCCGCGCTCGATGGGGAACAAAAACACTCGCGCACAATGACACGGCTGCGACGAACCCTCGCGAAACAACACGGGCACAGAGATGGTTCCGTCGCCCCTCAGAGGACCGCAAGCAAGTGACAACAAACCACGGAGGACGGCAACAAACAGACCACACACGTTGTTTGAAATTTGCGTCCCGCTCACAGAACACCACGGAGGAAGGGAAAGAGTTCTTTCCTTCCTCCATGCAGAACACCAACCACTTGTCCCGCTCGCTGCTACGCGACAGTACAGTGGCTGGAATAGAAGAGTGTGATGAGCGGCGCCTACGGAGCGCACTGAAGCCTCCGAGGAGGAAGCCATGTGGGGGCGCGCGCAATCGTTTATTATAGAGATAACCGATAAATACAAATATCTGGGCGTATGGATAAGCAATGGGACCGAGTATCTGAGGGAACACGAAATATACGTGACGACTAAAGGTAACAGGAATGCAGCAGTCATGAAAAATAGGGCACTGTGGAATTACAATGGGTATGATGTTGTGAGAGGAATATGGAAAGGGGTCATGGTTCCTGGGCTGACGTTCGGCAATGTGGTCTTGTGCATGAGATCAGAAGTTCAAGCAAGATTAGAAATTAAGCAACGTGGAACAGGTAGGCTTGCTTTAGGAGCTCACGGGAATACACCAAATCAGGGAGTACAAGGTGATATGGGATGGACATCATTTGAGGGCAGGGAAGCTAGCAGCAAGATAAAACTTGAGAAGCGATTGAGAGAAATGGGGGAAGAGCGTTGGGCTAGGAAGGTTTTCAGCTACTTGTACATGAAGAATGTCGATACAAAATGGAGGAAGTGAACCAGGAAGTTGACTGGTAATCAGTGGTAAATACTTAGAAAACAGCAGGTGGCCAAACCAAAAAGAACTATCGGTTAAGAAGAAAGTGAAGGAAACGGAGACTGACATGTGGAGAATGGGCATGATTAAGAAGTCCGCACTAGAGATCTATCGAACTTTTAAGCAGGAAATTGCCAAGGAAAGGATCTATGATAATACTCGGGGTAGTTCTCTACTGTTTGAGGCCAGGACGAGAGTACTGCGAACCAAGACATATCGGGCCAAATACGAAGGGGTAGACACAGTATGCAGTGCGTGTGGAGAGGAAGAAGAAACTGCCGAACACTTGATAATGTTCTGTAAAGGGCTTCGCCCTATAGTTCAGGATAATGGCGCATAGTTTTTCAAAGCACTGGGGTTTAGGGACCGGGAGGGCAAAATAAACTTTAAGCGGGTAGACTTAACTAGAAGGAGGTTATCTGATTGGTGGCTAAAGTCAAGGCACGAGTGAAAATAAACTCTTCACTGCAAAGTACGAATCCTCAAACTCACTTTTAAGGAAAAAAAATATAGTTTTTGGTTCATTAGGTATTACGGCTTGGTGGTGCTAGCCACCGCCCGACCTAAAGGGTACAGCCATATCCATCCATCCATCCATCATTGTTTGCACGTTTCCGACGGTTTCGTTGGGCGCGTTCGTCCTCGTCTTTTAATTTGGTGGCACTCTGACACCAATGCTTCTGTATGCACTCTCATGGCGCGAAAAGAAAGTCATTGCTTCGTCCCGGGGTTTACTACAGGCTACAATTCAGCTATAAAAAGCATGCAGTGTTCGACGTTCCAAAGCACGAAGCTCTGTTAACGCAGTGGCGAAGAGCGATCGCGCGCGCTGACAAACTGCTTAAAAAAAAAAAAAAAAATCTCAGATGTGTGCGAGCTGCACTTCGGCGAGAGATACATCTCCCGGCACTTCGAGCACACTGTTATTGGCGGAATTGTCCGCGTTGAAAGGGATAAACCCATGGGCGTGGTTGCCGTTAAGGAGGGAGGGGGGGGGGGGGGCAAAGGTTTTTTGCAGGGCGCCTCTTTCCTATCAAATCAGTGTATGAGGCAGATTTTACGCCCCTTTTTTTTTTTAGATGACTAAAAGAGTGCTCCGCTGCCAAGTCGATGTATAGAACAAATTTAGCGCCCCTTCCCAGGTGGCCAGCCAGCTTTGCCCCCCTCGTGCGGACGCCTATGGGTAGGCCTTTCGGAAAAGCTCTTCGCATTTGTAGACGCCTTTGAAATCACTTCTTCAAAGTCGTTTAGCTACAACTAGCTTCACAGTGACAGCTTGGAAGAGCTTGTTTCTTGCTTGAAAAAAAGAAATGCCACACTGGGCTGCGCACATCATGGTCCGAGCCTCACCAATCAAGTAAACAAGTTTTTTTCTGCTCACCCATTTGCGTTTTCACACAAAGGTACTCCACAAGGAGCGGCATCTCTCCGTGAAAATAGGAAGTATGTGAAGCTCAGGCGCATGATCTAGGTTTGAAGCCCAATGTTCTGTGGGGCACCTGTGAACTATAAAACTTCTTTCTTGGGGATAAAAATGGACGTGCGGCAAATTATTAAAAATGGACTGTTGTAAACAGACAGTGAGTCACTACTCGGAAATGCGTTGCATGACCTGGGTGCAGGAAATAAAAGGTTTTCATCCAGATACCGCTCGTGATTCTCGTCTCCGAGTATGACGTTTTGAATTATGGGGCTTTATTTACAGAGTAGTGCTTGAGGAAATGATGGTTCGCCGTTGAAAGTGTTGCAAGCAATGACCCACAACCGAGTTCATCATTCCACTCTTCAACCACTTCACATCGATAAAATGTTTCAGTGCCGTCACGCGCTCACTTTCGGCATCCTGTCGACCTGACAATATTTCTGATCTGTCGTGCACCCGCGTAGGCATCCTGTTTTCCAGAAGCTAATTACCATATTTTTTCGGTCACTGTTTGAGGCCAGTGCACGAGCAAAAAAATATATTTTTGAAATGTTTAACAATGCTCGCGCGCGTGGTTGATTGCAATCTCTGCGCAGCGCATCGCCGCATTGGGTGACGTGCAAACGTGTGCCACCGCCATCTGGCGGTTTCCGCCCAAAACATTACGCGCCAGCCGGCGCGTTCATCACACTTCCCTATTCTAGCCACTGTAGCGGCAGTGCAGGCCATACAAGTTCAAAATGCTACACCCGTGTACAACCCAACGTTACTAGATTCTGCAGGATCTAGTAACGTTGTGTACAACCAGTGTCGCAATAGTTCAGTGTTGAGTTCAACGAGTTTGCAAGCTGTGCACCATTTGTTGCGCTTTTTTCACCTTGAGTAGAGTGCCACTGATCGTGGAGGGCGGGAAAACTGAAAACATAACTATGGTGTACTATAATATGGGGTAGTGTGTTCAGGGAAGAGCCGTGGCTGACGCATTTGATATCGACAGCCACGAGATGACGCCACCTAACCCAACGCCTCCTTTAAAAAGATGCCTGCCGCATGAGAAGAAAAACAACTGCCACACCCTTATTCTCCATCATTTTAAATTGTTCTTAAAGTCCCTGAAACTTTATTTGTTCTTGGTCGCTAGCGCCACTTGTGGCGGACGGTGCAACAACGCAACACTTTGCACGGCCGGGCTAGTGAGCGAGCGGCGCGCGCGCTTTTACGGCCTTCGCAAGAGCCCTAGTTCCTGCCTGCGGCCGCTGCTAAGAACTGGCGCTGCGGGCCAACCCTGCGGACGCGCTCATCTATCACTCCGCGCGCGGGCGAGCTATGCGCGGCCTCTGCTCTTCTTTTTTTTATTTTTCACTACAATCACCGCTACTGGCGTACGCAGAAGGGGGGTTAAAGGGGGCCGGGTAGGAAGAACCAAACGAAGACTGCGTGCCCATCCCCGAATAATGGTTTCTGATCTTCGGCTGATTATTTGTGTCGCACGCTACGCACCAGCCCACGGCCGGGCTAGAGAGCGGCGCCGCGCGTGCTACAGCGCGCGCCGCTTTCTCTCTAGCCCGGCCGTGACCAGCCATACGCGACTTCGATGTATGTTCTCAAAGCGACGATGAGCCATTTTGCAATTTCTCTGAAGAAATTAATGAAATAATTACAAAATTCGACAGAACGTGGAATCGCCCTAAATTTTTAGTGTATCGTGAATAAATTACAAGCTTTGGCTTTTTTCAGTTGTGTGGTTTAATTTCTGTGTACTTTTTTGGTCTTTCACGCTGCTCTCCCTGCCGCCCCTCCCCCTTTTCTGAACTGAAATCCTAAGTACTCCGCTATCGTGGGCGCCCGCCATCGGGTGCAACAAACAGAATTGCTGCAAAATTTTGCTCTCAGCGCAGCGTGATTGATTCGCCTGGGCTAGTTTCAATGTTTCGGTTTCATATGCAGGTTGAAGTACTTAGCGGCGTACTCTAATTGTCATAGGTTACGACTTAAAACTTGCAGAGCGTTAGTTAGAAATCTTTAAAAACGCATGCCGAAGAAAAAGCATCGGGGATAATCTGTGAACTGAAAGGCACCTGGCAAACTGGAAACGAGTTTATTAGTTTATTATATGGAAACGAGTTCGAGCACCAGAAAAATCATCTTCGGCGTGACAGAACAGTCTTGCACAAAAGAAACGTTGTTCGAGCTGGAGAAGCTTCACAGTCGGAAGTGCTTCCTCGACGGCTTATGTGTATAGTTCATGTGCTTTTCATTGTCGTCAGTGACTCGAGTGGAGTGATTCTCTAAAAGGATCCTGAAGAATTTGTCAGCAATCAAACTTGCTGACCGTCTTCCGTGACTATTGTCCACACTTTCGGAGCAGTTCAGCAGAGGTACGTCCTCAAGATGCGGTCCTACGAGCAGCTGTAGAACTTCGAGAACATGCGTGCGTGGCAGGTGTTTTGCTATTTTCTCGAAGAATGTGACGATCCTGTTTAAAAGTTCAAGGAACTCTGGCCTCGGGTAGGCAAGGCCGCTTCTGTCCTGGCCTCTCAAAAGCGCGTACAGTGGCTGATCTTTGTCGCTTGTAGTGAGGAGCATGGCGCAAGATTCGCACCCGAAGTCCGTGATCAGTTTCGCGATGTAACCGCCGACGTAGGCCAAACCAGAGCATGTCACAGACAGTGGGGGAGCGGAAGTACATTCCCTAAGCTCTTTCAGGTCGTCAGAGAACGTCACCGACAGGCTACTGACCAACTTTTCAACATCAGTGTCGCACGTCAGGACTTCAGGTGGCCTTGCGAACTTGGATTTTACAATTTGGTCCAAAGCAGCCGTCACAGCCCGGGCGTCGAGCATGTCGTTTCCACCGCACATGTACCTGACTCTGCCGAATACTGCTTCTATGGGGTCGCTGTTTAGCTTCCTTGTTAGCACGTAGTTGATGCCTTGGGTTAGGAGGTATCGAGTTGTTTCCACTGTTGACTTTGTAGTGAAAAG